CTTTTTTAAAACATGTACTTTACTATGCTCATGAGAAATTTGAGCGCTAGGATCATTGCTAAATTTAGACTAGTTTCGATCATCATTCCTAAATTTAGCCTAATACTCGAACATCATATCTAAATTTGGCAGTAAGGAAAATGTTTTTTTAACCAAAATCACGTGTAACCCTTTTTTATTGCATTTTTGAACGAATCACGAAATTGCAATTTTTGAAATTTGAGTGTGTGGCGCAGCAAAAGGAGGTCGAGGATTTTACTTTTTCATGCCGAGATCATCAGCCATATCGCCGAATTTAATTAGTTTATGCTCCTTGTTAAAAAAAAGAAGACTAGATTTGTATAAACATTGGGATTGTATTCTCTGTCACAATGAAAGATTTCAATCATTTCTGGTCTTATCCTCAAAACAACAAATCCGTCATGAAACAAAGAAGAATAATAAGAAACACAATAGTAATTATCCTATTCTCAAGGGTATTTTTTCTTTTTTTATTACCAACAAAATACAAAATTATACCATAAACTAAAATCACTACTAAAATTACATCTATCATTATGAACAATATATATTTAAAAATCATTGAGTGCATCTTGTGAAGGAATGATTAATTAGAAATCTCTTCAAGTATTACTAAAAAACAAAAAAAAAACAAAAAAGAAATTCTACTAACAACTCCTCTATTAGTCTCAATAGAAATACAAACAATTTATCAAATGATTCCGAGGATACAGAATATGCAATTGTATCAGGTAGCTTCCTGTTGGATTATTACAATGAGTAATAACTATTTGCTTTTATCTACGTCTGAATGTCAGGTGTTAAATCTTAATACCTTTTAGGGCCTGGTTTGATAGATAACGGTGAAAGGTTGGTTCCATGATGAACTTTATCAGTTTACTAGGGGGCAGTCATTTTTTTGTGTGTGACAATTAATAAAATTATGCGACATTACCTCATAAAAAAAAAATTTATATATGTAGTTTATGCTCCTTGATCTGCACAACAATTTTTTTCAACTTTTAACATTAATAATATTAGTGCTCCTCTTATACTAAAAATTTTAATTATAATTAGTAATATGCTTGAAAATTCTTTGGAATTCGGAAGTTCTCTTCGCTCGCAATTTCTTTTAGATGATAAATACATTTCACTTAACCATGGTTCATATGGCACATACCCTAAATCAGTAAGAGAAGCTTTACGTGAATTTCAAGATAGGTCTGAATTTAGACCAGATCAATGGATGCGTCGAGATTTAGAAATTGAGTTGACCAAAGCTAGAGAAACAATTGCAAATTTTGTTAATGCAGACACAGATGAAGTTGTATTTATACAAAATACTACAACAGGTATCAATGCTATATTGAAAAGCTTAACTTATGTAGAAGGAGACAAGGTTTGTTTATATATGATTTGTAATGATCATAAATGTTAATTTGCTAATAAAATATGATAAAATAAAATTTTAATCAAATTAGCTACTTTTTCTTTCTACCGTTTACAATTCTGTAAGAGAATTATTGTATTTTACAAGAGATAATAATGATGGGAAGGTGCAATTGATTGAATTGGAAGTAAATTATCCAATAACTGATGAAGATTTAATTTCTAAAATTGAAAAATGTATTGAGGAAGAAAAACAAAATCCAAATTCAAGAATTAAGTTAGCGGTCATTGATGCAATTTCTTCAACACCTGGTTTGTTAAACAATATACTATAAATTAAAAAGCAAAGTTTCAAATAATTTATTTATTTAATCAATCAAAAGTTTTTTATTTATAGGTGTCGTTGTTCCTTTTCAAAAGATTATTCAAATACTTCGAAAACATGACATTATTTCCGTGATAGATGGTGCTCATGCAATAGGTCAAATCCCTCTTGATCTTAAAGAATTTGATCCTGATTATTTCGTAACAAATTGTCATAAATGGTTATATACTGTTAGAGGATCTGCGCTTTTATATGTGCCATTTAGGAATCAAAAAAACATTCATCATCCTATTGTTAGTGCTCTTTGTAATAGTGGATTTGTTAAGGAATTTTCTTGGGTTGGTACGCAAGACTTTAGGTATAATGACGACTTTATTTTTTTTTCAAATTAAAAAATTTTTTTTATTCACACATACAGTATTAATGACTTTTTTATTTATATTAAAATTCCCTCTAGCTCTTATCTGACAATTCATCCTGCTTTAGCATTCCGTAAAAAACTTGGTGGCGAAGATAAGATTCAGTCGTATTGTAGGAATTTGGCTATTAAAGGTGGTAAACTAATTGCTTCCATTCTTAATACAGAAATATTAGGCCCTGAATCATCAATTGCTCATATGGTCAACATTCGACTTCCAATTAAAGTCGATGATGGGAAACCAAATATATTTGAATCAGAATTTCACGAATTGATGTTTAATAAATATAATTGTTATGTTATGGCGTTTAAACATGCAGATAAGTTTTATGTTAGAGCTAGCGCTCAAGTTTACACGGATTTGAAGGATTTCGAAAAAGTTGGATACATATTGAAAGAAATTTGTGATTCTACTTCGCTTACGAAATACAAGTTATAGAGCTATGTTTGTTTGTTTTACATGTTTGCTTAGAACTTTGTAGTGGATTATCAAAAAAACAAATAAAAACAAATAATCATCTTATTTAACATGTTTCAACAAGGTATAAAAAAACGGGCTTGATGTGTTATTATTATTTAATATAAATATATATTTGTCCCATTTTCTTTTATTGTGAAATCAAATTTTACAGTTAATATCTTATCATGTTTGTATGAAGTTCTTGTTGCAAATGAATATCCAGAAAGCCACGTGAACCTGATCCAGAAAAAAGATGGACGTGCAGAGCTCATTGCCAAGTATTTTCTAGAGTTGGTTTTTATTGGATTGGTTAATTTTTTAGAAAATTATTCAGTTGCCATAATCAATAATCAAACAATTGCTAAAGATGTTTTTCTTGAGAAGTAATATATATAGTTCTCCTATTGATACAAATTCAAATAAACGGCGTAGGAATCCTTTGAATAATAAAAATCTTCAACCATCTGTTTGTTGTCTCATCCCCTTCAACAGAATTAGAAAGAACAGTAGAACAATCGAGCAAGTCTGAACCAACAAGTAAAACGTGTTAATTACATAATTGAATATGAGGAAAGAATCAATGAATTAGAATATCAGAACAAATTAAGTTCAATATGACCTGCAATTACGAATTGAACCCTACTATAATTGAACATTTATACATTGATAACATTAATTTAATTAATGATCAGAAATGATTTGGTTTGGATAGCCTTTTAGGGTGTTCTACTCCTGAATTGCTTTCAAACGAAATACAGCTGTTGTAAAGTTTCTTACATGTAAAAAAATGAAAATCAACTTGAAGGAGAAAAGCTTTTCAAATGTGCAGTGAACATTATTTATGGTGCTAAAAACTTAAAATATGTGTCTGTAGTCAATTCATGCATCTATAGAATATCCAATAGTGAAATCAAAACTATTATTGATCTTGATAATCACTTTCTTGAGTTTTGGTGGTTACAACAAACTTCTCCAATGGTACCCAAAAAGTTTTATTTTTGGCATTTGACAATTTTTCATACAGTTACTCGTTTACTTTCTTTGATCTTAGTATATACCACTGGTCACATACAAAGGATCAAGGAACCTTGTTTACATCAAAAGTTAAATAAATTCATTACAGATTGAAGAACTTTATTGATATTCACACCTGAAATGCAAAAATTAACCCATCAAATTTTTTCAGGGTCCAATCATATTTAAAAATAATAAATTGTTAATAATAAATTGTTAATTTCAACATCAACAACATAATTGTTTTTAAATATGTCAAATGGATTGATATTTTATATCGATGGCTTTTTAATTTTTAGTGAGAAATCAACATGAGGAACTCCTTGAGATAAACTTCCCAGACTTAAAACATCAATATCTATAATTTTTTTAAATATATAGATTTTAAATTATGAAAAAATTTTAAATAGAAAAAAAAATAATTAATAGTTACCAGGGCAAAAATAATCAGTAATATTATGTTCAGTAATACCACCACTAGATTCTAATAAAAAAGATTTTCCAGTCCATTTTTCTTTCAAAGATTTAGCTGTAGATTTCAAATCGTCCCCTTTTAAATTGTCAAGCATAATAATATCAGCACCAGCTTGAATTGCTTCATTTGCCTCCTCTTCTGTTCTACATTCAACCTCAATCTTAAGTGAGAACCCACCAACTTCTCTTGCCTTCAGAACAGCCTTTGTTATTGAACCTAAATTATATAACATCGTGTTTATTAATCAAAACCTTTATTAATAAAAACTTTTTTACTTTATCAAAATTCACCTTGACTCCAAATGTGATTATCTTTTAACATTATCATGGAAGAAAGATCCATGCGATGAGTATCAGCACCTCCAACTAACATGCCATATTTTTCAACCAATCGAAAACCTTTAAAAATACTATTCTAAATCAATTTTACATATATATATTATAATGGTAGCTATTTATTGTTATCATTGTTATCATTACCTGGTGTTGTCTTTCTAGTTCCTGCAATTATTCCTTGAAATTTATGTGTTTCCTTGAGAGTTATACATCTTTTACTTCTATTAAATTTTTACATATTAGTCAGTATATATATAAATCTTCAAGATCGATTGATAATAAATATAAATTAAACCTTCTTGCAATACCACTGCATCTCGCAAGAATATTTAATGCAGTACGTTCACCCAATAATATGTCACACGCTCTACCAGTAACATGAGCAATCTCTTTTACTGGTTCAAAGCATTCCCCTTCTTCCAAAAACCAATCAACACTTTTCGCATCATCATTAAAACTTTATTATGAATGTTTAATAATTTTTATCAAAAGAAATAGCAATTTAAAAACCTGCAATTTAACTGACTAAAAACTTCATTGAAAAAGGGAACTCCAGCTAAAACACCCTAAATCCAACAAATTTCGATTGTGAAAATATTAAAAGATAATAATAATAATGTATTTTTTAATGTATTTATCAATTAATTTACAATTTACAGGTGATTTTCCATATAGAATAGCATTTTCGAGAGTATTCCCAACAACAAATCCTCCATAGTCGAAAGATGGCACATCTTCTTTTAACCAAGCTTTTATATCCTCTTTGTAAGATAACGGGAGAAGGTAGGAATAACTCATGGTTTTAATGATCAACAAAACGAATTGAACACAAAACTTTTTGCTAAAAAAAATGTTGGATTTCGAATTTATTTTATATATTGCAATATTTATTAATATTTGTGGTTTTGCAGTAAGTTCTTTAATCAAAAAAAATTTTTGATTAATTAAATATGTAGATATATATATAATATTTCGATACTGTAATTTCATTTCATTTGATTCATTCATTTTTATGATAAAAATCAACAAATTTTTTTTTTAGATTTGAAAAAAGAACAAAGACATCTTTTAATAAAATTTCTTACAATATTATCATTACCAATATTGTGAAAAAAATATTGCTTTATTCTATATAGTTTGTCTCTTTTCTAATACTCTTCTACTCTCCAAAACCACGAAAACCATTAAATTCTGAAAAGTATTATCAGTCAGCACATCATGATAAACCACAAAAACTCAAGAGTATATTTGACAATCCATCAGTAGAATTATCGGTGGTGGTACCTGCATATAATGAATCAAAACGTTTACCAGAAATGTTGGAAGAAGCGATCGAATTTCTAGAACAAAAAAGAGTATCAGACAAAAATTTTAGTTATGAAATTTTGGTGGTTGATGATGGAAGTCAAGATGATACAACAGATGTTGCTTTGAAAATTGGCAAAAAACATTTAAATATTGATTTGAAAGTTTTAAGGTTGGAAAAAAATAGAAAGAAGGGTGGTGCTGTTACTCAGGTTAGAAGTTTATAATGATTCGTCATAAACAAAGAATCAATTAAAGAAATCATTCGTTAACAATATACATATATTATTTAGGGTGTGTTATCAGCCAGTGGTAAATATGTTTTATTTGCTGATGCAGATGGAGCAACAAAATTTTCTGATTTAGAAATGTTGGAGAAAGGAACAAAGAAAATTGTGAACGATGATGGTTTTGGTGTTGGTGTTGGTTCTAGATCTCACCTAGTAAATACTGATGCCGTAGTAAAGGTAACTTTTTCTTGGAATTAAAATTAATATGATCGATAATTAATTATATGATAATATTTTGATTCTAACGTAAATATATATATGTATGTGTTTTAGAGATCATTCATAAGAAACTTTTTAATGCATTCATTTCACAAATTATTATACATATTGGGTATTCGAAATATAAAGGATACCCAATGTGGTTTTAAATTATTTACACGTAAATCTACACTGCATATATTTACCAATTTACATGTAGAGGGGTGGATATTTGACATAGAAGTTTTACTGATTGCAAATTATTTGAAAATACCAATCATTGAAGTACCTGTCAATTGGAAAGAAATTGATGGTTCAAAAGTTTCATTAATTAAAGATTCTTTGTTCATGGCTTTAGATTTGTTAGTTATTAGACTTAATTATTGGCTTAGATTCTGGAAAATTAAAGATCCACATTTATTAAAACTTAAATCTGAATGATTGATCAATCAATCAATTCTCAAAGAATGTTCTTTCAGGGATTATTTAATTGTTCATTGACAAGCAAATTTATAATTAAAAAGAACACTTATGTTTTATCACACACGCATATATGCATTAACATGATTACTGATCACTAAAATGACATTTTTTAAAGTGTGGGTGGAATCATATGAATAAATAAATAAACATATACATATGAAATAAATTTTAATCAAGATTTAAAAACTTTATTTGTTTATTTATTTTATAGTAAAAATCATTTTTCATAAAGATGATTAGTTTAATAATGTTAATATTTTATGATAATTATTTAATTAATTGATCAAAAGAAGAAGAATATTTATTATTTAAATTTCATGAAAATCAAACTAATTTAAAGCATGCAAAAGTTTCCAGTAGAATTCAAATGATTTCTCTCTTGAAAATAAAATTTCTTCTTGAAGACATTGAGGTAACGATTTCAACAATATAGAATCTCTTGTGGGATCAATACAAGGAGAAAACACATAATTACCTGGATAATCAGGCGTGGTTGAAAGTTTAAAGACTAAATCTATTTTTAAGAGTGCAAAATCATTTAAAATACGCTTACATATATACCATTTAAATAATTAATAATCTTATAAGTATTGGTACTTACCACCTTTTTTACCATTTTGAAAACATGAAAGTGTAAATTCATCAGCAGATTTTATTTTTACATTTTGTATCAATAAATTAGTAAGATCCTCGTACAAAATATTTTTAAATGATTGTTCGGCATATTTCGAATCAAGTTCATTTGTAGAGGTTACTTTAGCCAGTCTAGCACTAAGTTGTTTACTATTTTGTGATTCCAAATTAAGCTCAAGTTCAAGAATTCTTACTAATTTGATAAAATAACAAATAATGATGATGATGATGATGATGATGATGATGATAAAATGATTTTAGCAATGAAATAAATGTTTATATTTATATATTTATTTGTAAAATAATTAATCTTAACCTCTTTCACGTAAATTCACCAATTCATCATCCTCTTGAGGTGTCTTGGTTTCCTTAAATTTACCTTTATATGTTGATTTTTCTAATTTCTTTTTTTTGGTTTTGTTTTCTTTTTTTATTATTATTATTTTAGTTACATAATTCTATTAAAAGAATATTGAAAATATTTATTTACTATATAAAGTATGTACCATTTATTGTCTTTTCTTCAATTTTTCGTGTCCTTTCTACTTTTTTACGCGGCTTGACTTCTAATCGAACTAGAGTATCTTCCTGTGATCCTCTTTTAGCCTGAGATCTCTGTGAATAATTTATACATTTAGTGATGATAATAGATATTAAAATTAATATTATAAAGTCTGTAGTTTTAATATGATCGTTCATTTTGTAAAAAAAAACAATTGCTGTAATCACCGTTCGCATGATTAAAGAGAGACTTAAATATAAATTTGTGCATTAATATTGCTGCTGGCACGAAACTTTTTATTCTTATTCTTATATTATTATAATAAGTACGTGATTTGTCACACCACGTGCGCCAATTTTTGTCGTAGTACAGATATTATCAAATTTGGAATTTCTAAATACTGTAATGATCGACAGTCTAGAAGCCTTTAAAATAAAATAAAAATAATTAAAATAACGCTTTTTATGAAGAAAAACATTGGCGAGAGCTTTATTAAACGGTCATACAATTTTCAAAATTACGTATTGTGTGTGTTTTAATTACTTTACAAGTCTACCAAGAAATAATCAATAGCTTCAAATTAGTGTAATTGGTGTTGCTAGCCGACTAGTCATAGCCGTGACTAAAGATTTTATATCTAGACGCGACTGGATCTCAGTTGTAAACAATTATAGCCTTAATATTAATATTACTGTAATTAGATATAATCATGACTTAATTCAACATTTTCAAAAATATCAATAATTAACTGATTTTTTTAGAATGGTTTTTTGAACATGGTATATTATTTACGGTCTATGGAAAGAAAATATCAAAAATTCTACTTAACATAATAATAATGATGATTTCAAAGGCATGTAACTCCGTTAATTCTTTACGAGCTTTTTATTTATTTTGTTCGTAAGACATTCTACATTAAATTTTTTTTGTGAATTTTTAATGTTTTAGTCGTTTGGAAAATTACTCAAAAACTAACTTTTAAACAAATAGTGAAAATTAATAATAAAGTGCATTTTAGAACATTCTAAACAATTTTTTATTAAGATGAAAGGAAATGTTTTGTGCTAGTTTTTGAGTATTTTAATGAAAGGTTCGGCGACTTAATATTAAGTGATCTACATTTTATCCCGGTGATTTTTGAAAGTGTGTTTAGTCGCGGCTAAATAAAATCTAGTCGCAGTTGAATCTAGTCGCGGCTAAAATATAGTCGCAGCTGAAATATAGTCGCGACTGAAATCGCGACAGGAAAAAATCCAACCGACTAGCCGCGACTTACAGTTATCCATCCGGCTTGCAACGCTGTTAGCAGCCATTGAATCGAATCATTATCTCATTTTGATACTCCTTTTAACTTTATAAATGTATTTATTAGTATGGGATCATAGCTAAAGTTTTTTTTACTGAGGTGCAAGTTCAGAAAGGTGATGTAAACGTTTAATAATTATATTACACATTAATTTGTGGTACAAATGATAAAATGGGGATGGTCCAACAGACGGTTTTCTAATTCCTTCTTTATATTAACATAGATAGTAATAATAATAGGTACCGCATCAAAAAAAAATTTTTTTGATTTGACATAAAAAACTTGATTTTGATGGCCTTTCTTTTGTTGCTTTTGTTGGAAATGCTCTACAATCTTGATCCTTAAGTTCCACAAATAATTTACCATTGTATATAACTTACCTTCACACAACTTGTCCAACCTGTACCTATTAATCCGTAAATATGCCGTCGCTTAAAGGTTTATTTATTATAATTAATTCAAAGCTTTATTCAAAAATTTTCAAAGTATCTTACTTTTTATATTTTTATTTAAGTTAATGTTAAATGGAGAGGAAAGGAGTATGAGTTAGAAATTGACACAAATGAGACAGTTGAATTGTTTAAAATTCAGATTTACACATTGTTAGGAGTACTTCCAGAAAGACAAAAAATTTTGGTTAAAGGAGAGTTGTTAAAGGTCTGACATTATTACTTATTTTTTAAAAAAAAAAGAAATTGATAATATTTATTTTTACAAACCTTTCCCCCCCCCCCCCCCCCCCCAATACAGGATGATACTGATTTTAATACTTTGAATATCAAAGAGGTTAAAAGGACATTTATAAATTTCGATTTAAGAATTTTGATTAAAAAACTAAATACTAAACATGTTTGATTTTTCTATTTAACATGTAATAGGGATATACATTTATGGTAAATTATAAAATTATAAATAAAATTTTGATTTATGATTAATGGATGGTTAATAATAATATTAAGAAACATGATTTAGATGGTGGGAACTAATAGTGAATTTCCAGAAGAGCCATATCAAAAAATTCCATTTGTTGAAGATATGTCAACAGAGAGTGTATGTTTTCATTCAATGTGACTTGATGTTAATATCATTTTTCACATGTAGTTTTATAACCAAAGGAATTTTTAATTTTAATTTTATGTTGAAATTTTAGTTAAAAAAATTACCATCTGGCTTGATAAATCTTGGGAATACATGTTATATGAATTCTACTTTGCAATGCCTTCGTGTAATTCCAGAATTGCAAGAATCACTTAATAAGTAACTTTTTTTCAATTATATATATCAATTGACAAACACAAATAATCTTGAAACAAAATTTTAATGAGATTATAATCCCAAGGTCTAATCTTACTATTGGTGATCAAGGTGATCAAGACAATCAAAGAAACATGATCATGTCTTTATGTGAACTTTACAACCAATTGAATCTGACAAGTGAAGGATATCCACCACTGCAATTTTTACAAGTTACTAAAAGAATTTCTTTTTGAATATTTAAAAAAATTAATTTTTTAAATAATCTTATAATTTTTTGATAATCTTTTTTAGTCATTACAACAAGCCTTTCCTCAATTTGCAGAACGTAGTTATTTTGGATTGATGCAACAAGATGCTGAAGAATGCTGGTCTCAAATTATGTCTTCATTAAGTGATATAAATCTTCCTACATTTCAAAATGTTGCTAATATATCTGCAGAAGAAGGATCATCAACTTCTTCTAGCACACAAGCTTCATTTGTTGAAAAATATATGACTGGTGAATATACTTGTATGTAAGTATTTAAAGTAAGTCTATTAATTAACTAAAGAAAACTTTCAATTAATACAATAAAAATTATTAGTTTAAAATGTGAAGATGAAAAAGCACTAAATGAAGAACCTGTTATTTTACATGAGCCATTTAGAAAGTTAAATTGTCATATTTCTGCATGCAAGTATTCTTTTTTTTTATAAAAGTATGTATAAAAAAGTATTTTAATTAATTGTATGATTATTAAAATTCACTTTTTTTTTAAAAAAACATTTATTAGCAACTGATACCCTGAATCATGGTATTGTTCAGGTATTACATCATATAAATGATTTTTTATTTTAAACTTGTTTATGTATGTTTTTTTAAGAAGACATTTCCTTTTGAAATTAGGCATTAGATGAGAGACTTCAAAAAACATCACCTACACTAAATCGACAAGCTACATATTCTAAAAAGTCATATATTAGTCGTCTACCTTCATATCTCACAGTTCACTTTGTAAGGTTTTTTTGGAAAAGTCAAGAACAAAGGAGAATAAAAATCACGCGTAGGATTATATTTCCTTTCGAGTATGATGTTACAGAATTTTGTACAGATGAATTAAAGAAAAAGATATTACCAGTCAAGAATCAACTAATTGAATTGAGAAAAGAAAGGGATGAAGCTAAGGTTGAGAATTAAAACAGTTATATAGATTGTATGGAAAATAAAATTATGTTATTATTAAAATTTAATTGTTTACTTATTATTGTTATTATAACAAATGATAAAGCTTGCCAAAAATTCTGATCAAATGGAAATAGACAACATCAAAAAAAATGACAATTCAAGAATTGAAGAAATTAAAAAATTAATTGATCCAGATTTGGCAAAAGATGTTGGATCCAATTTCACAGGATTGTATGACCTTTGTGCAGTTTTGACTCATATTGGAGAAAATGCTGACTCTGGTTTGTTTTCTCATTTCATCTCTTCTTTTTTTTTAAAAAAAAATATTGTTTTAAATATATGTATACATGTGCATGTAAACAAAAAAATATTACAGGGCATTATGTTGCTTGGGTGTGCAAAGATGATGATTGTATGTAATAAATATTATATTTTGTTAATTGAATGTGATTTTTTTATAATTATTAACCTTCTAATTAATATTATTTATTATTTATATCTGTTTAGCTGATGAATGGCTCAAATTTGATGATGATAGGGTTTCAACTGTCAAAAAAGAAGATATTCAAGAATTGTATGGTAATGGTAATGGTATGTATTTTTAATATCCAATAACGTTCTATGTTATATATGATTTATTAATGTGACTTGTAAAAAATTATAGGTGACAGGCATGTTGCATACATTCTCTTATATAAATCAAGAAAGATTGAATAGAAATTCTTGAGCAAAATATTCTTTTTTCAAAATCAATTTATATTTATTTTTTATATTTACAAAAATAATCTGATTGATGTGCTTTCATTAATCACAACTAAATAGAATCATATTATTTAATTGCATCAAGAATAAAGATGTTAACAGAAACCAAAATATTTCAAATTTGCAAAACTGAAACTATTTCAGAATTTGAGATTTTAAAAAGCAACTTCTGAAATGCTGAATTGTTTCCAAAATTCTTACCATACTACCCTGAGTACACTAAAAACCCGTTCTCTGTTTGATTGGTCAGGGTTTTTAGTGCAACTGAGGTAGGTGTGGTAATGGGGGAGTTAAATAAGGTAAGGTATTTTTTGATGGTCAACAAAAAGGAAATAACAATAATAATACAAACCTTTGTAATATTGAAAAGGGAGACACCATTCTCATTTTTGAATGTAGTTAGTATAATACCTCTAGTTTATGAGTACAGAGAGCCTTTTATTTTTATTATAATAAAAATAAATTTACATATTGAGCAAAGATTGCTGCAGTATGTCCATTTTTGATTGCCATTGGTGTTTGTCCCTCCCAAAAAGTTGTTCTGTACCCATAAACTAGAGATAATATATTCAAAAATGGGAATTATATCTCGGACTAGTTAGTTAAATTCCATTTTTATTACATATAATTTTCTTTGGTTATTGATCACCAGTAAATGTATCATCTATAAATGTGCCAGTCCGAAATTTAAATTTTAGAAGATCTTTATAATTTAAGTAAACAGGTTTCTTTTCTTGGAAAGATTTTCTGTATCACGAAAAAATTTTAAGCTGATAATTGGCTTTTTAGGAAACCACAATGGAAGATCATTCCGAAATTTTACAAACAGTCCATTAACATTACACCATTAAAACTTTCTAATGAATATTTTTTTATATCAAAAGGAACTCTTTATGTAAAGTTATGACTATTTAAAATGGCATTCATCACATTTATACTTCAAAGGTTTTCTTTCAATTTTGTCTTGAAAATTGATGAGAAGATGTAAAATAATTTAAGCTTTTATATGGGCATTGCTTTATGTGGGGTATGTGTTATTGAAGTTGAAGTTTAGAGAAAATCAATCTTATTATCCAAAAATAGAAAACTATGTTCCAAATTTAGTAATTCAATAATAAAACTCAAGTTCAAGATTTTATTAAACACCACCCAAATATTTTTCTAAAAGTACAGAAGTATGGATATATGGGGCATGGACAATAGAAAGGGACCAAACGTCAAAATCACGATTTTGAGAAAATTGTAAAAAAAGATTTTGACCCAAAAACTCGGAAATTGCATATCATTTCTATATTCATGACAAAAATCAGGGGCTATTTTAATATTAATATATATATATATATAGCATGGTGGACATTCTTTGTTGTTACATAAATGTTACACCGACTATTTATATTTTTTAAAGTACTAAAACCAGT